GTGCCAATGCAGACTACTTTAGGTAAGTAAATGAATACAGTTATATATGTATTTATTATATAATCATAACAAATAATTTGCTTCTTACAGAAAACGTGAAGAAATAATCGAGCAAAAACGCACGAAACGTATTAGCGCACAGCAGCGCCAAATTAACAAAGATAATGAGTTGTGGGAGCGTAATCGCATGCTTACATCAGGTGTAGTAATGTCCATAAATGTAAATGAAGATTTCGACGAGGAGGCGTTAGAGCGTGTCCATTTGTTGGTGCATCATATCATTCCACCGTTCCTTGATGGACGAATCGTATTCACCAAACAACCCGAACCCGTTATACCCGTCAAAGATCCAACCTCTGACATGGCATTGATTGCACGTAAAGGCAGCAGTTTGGTGCGTGTTTACCGCGAACAAAAGGAACGCCGAAAGGCGCAAAAGAAACACTGGGAATTGAGTGGTACCAAATTGGGTAACATTATGGGTATCGAAAAGAAGGTGGATGAAGAGGATGCCAAGTTCGATAAGGACACGGATACGGCAGATTACCGACGAGATCAAAAATTCGCCGAACACATGCGTGAACAAGATTCCGGTGGTAAAAGTGATTTCTCACGCAAGAAGACAATCGCTGAGCAGCGTAGATTTCTACCCGTATTTGCTGTGCGTCAAGAGCTGCTGAATGTAATTCGGGAAAACTCGGTAGTTATTATTGTGGGCGAAACGGGTAGCGGTAAAACTACACAATTGACACAGTATTTGCATGAAGACGGTTATAGTAACTTTGGCATGATAGGTTGCACGCAACCGCGTCGTGTTGCAGCCATGTCTGTGGCAAAACGTGTCTCGGACGAAATGGGCACAAAGTTGGGTTGGTTGATTAATTTTCTTTGGTTAGTTTGATTTTATTATACATATGTATATTTTTTTTTATTATTTAAAGGTGATGAAGTGGGTTATGCTATACGTTTCGAGGATTGCACCTCTGAGAAAACTGTTATCAAATACATGACTGATGGTATCTTATTGCGTGAAAGCTTACGTGATCCGGATTTGGATGGTTACTCGGCTATTATTATGGATGAAGCGCACGAACGTTCGCTCTCCACGGATGTACTCTTCGGTTTGTTACGTGAGGTAAGTGCAAGCCAAACTTTTTAAAAATGCTCATTTATTTTAAAAAATTATACGTTTTTATTGACACAAAAATCTAATATTTTTAAGAATTAATTTATTTTTTGTGTGTGGAAAGGATTTCTACTATTTCCTCAATATGATAATAGAGATGGTGCGAATGCGCCGGGCAAAAAGATCATACGCGCTTTGATTTGCTGCCAAATTAAAGTTAGTTAATTTAATTATTTTCCATTAAATATAGAAATATATGTGAAAACTTACGTTATAGAAGAATCCAGTTTTAATGAATTAATAATTTGAATAGAAATACCAGCTGTTTCTGTTTACATTATTTTGCTCAACACACGTGTGACTTTGTATTTTTTAATAAAAATTGTCACAAAATACCAAAAAATTTCCTTCTTGATAAAAAATTCAAAATATAAACAATATTTTATTAATTTGTCAAGTGCACAGAATAGGAGTGTTATTTCACTCAAATTCGTTGGCAATTGATATCAAAATAAACGAAAAACTCAAATTCGTTGGCAAATGATACCAAAATAAACCAAAAAAAATAAAAAAACATCTTAAAATGTTAACTCATTGGTTTATGGGAAATAACCCGCAAGTACCAAATGCATGCTATTGGGTATAGGGCGTCTATACATATGTATATCAAATCGATTTCATCAATGTTCCAAGATAGCTCTCAGGTATAAATGGTACCTTTTGAGTGAGAAATGGTTTTGAATTTTTTTTTTTTTTTGTTTTACATTCTGAATAGGGTATATTACGTTTTCTACAAAGCTTGTAATATCCAGTACGTACGAAACGTTGTCCTATTAAGTATATAGATTATTGTATGAGCCCACGCTACAAACTCCGAACATAGTGTTTAGATCGGAACAACTGTAGTGTACAGCTCCCATACAAACTGGCCTGCTTGTGAAATTCGAAATAACATGTGCGTAAGATTGTTCAGTCTTGGTATACAAACAACCGCTATGTGAATTAAAATGACAAATTCCCTCATTGATATATAAAATATATATGTATGTATGTACACGTATGTGCCACAAATTAGTCATTATGTATAATTACCCTCCATGAAGTAATAAACTTATATCGCAAAAATTATAATCATTCTTGCTTAAGTAAAATTCAGCGAATTCGGCCTTGAGAAAGATAAATACCGCGCGCTTATCAAAACGCAGGCCGTGTCTTAAGCAGTAATTAATGGAGGTATTAAAAAGGCACAAGCTATTTCCGTTCTATGAAAATATATTTTAAATTTGTTACCCTGAACACGGCATGAAGTTTGTAATTCTCAGTCAGCACGGGACGATCTGAGCCGATTAAGCCATCTCCGTTTGTCTATGCAACGCTCAGTTTTTGAGATATCGATCTGAAATTTTGTACACATCCTAAATACACAAACACTCTAAAAAACTGCTTATTTGTCAGAATCGTCGATATCGGACCACTATAGCTGCCATACAAACTATACGAACAAAATCAAGCTCTTGTATGGAAAGCATTTCCAAGCGATATATTCAAAAAAAATAGGTACGAGTTATTGTCTAAAGATATATTTTAATCTCCACAGTTCCGATCGGACAACTATAGCATATAGCTGTCATATAAAATGTACCATCAAAGTTAAGTTTTTGTAGGGAAACATTTTTATTTTATAAAATTTGAAAGCCTTCCTTTAAAGTAAAACACACTTGCGACTTTTGTTGTCAAAAAACGAACCTTTATTCAAATTTCGATGCAAAAAAAGTTTTGTTTTAATTCAGTATCATAAGCTTTTCGTATATATCAGAGCGGCTTATCGCTTTAACCCTTACGTGCTAATTTCTAAATACAATACGATATTTAATATATCATTGCAATTAAATTTAATTTATGTAAATACTGCGATTCATTGAATGCGGCAGCAATAATATAATATTTAATATTTTCATGATATTCACCATATACATACTTATGTATGTAAAGTGGTCGTGTACGCTTATTGTTTACTACTTAAAAATGATTTAATTTAAAGTTTTTAATGTTTTATAATCAACAAAAACAGATCACATCAAATTCCACTAGCATTGTTGTAAGATTTAACCGTTATGCATTTAGCATATACAAAAAACTTAGTTTACACGCTAACGTACTCTCAGCGAAAAAACGATAAACATAATTTTTGCGGCTTAAATTAACTAATAACTAACAAATACATACATATATATGTACTTGCAGTATATATGTATGTAAATAAACGAAATTTACAATTCCTTGCATATACACAATGGACCACAGCAAAAACGAATAAGGACAAACTTTTAAAGTTCAGTTAGCGCTACATTACGCAATTGTAAGTTTTAGTTGTATTTTGTTTTGGGGGTACATAGATCTTAAATCTTATATAAATAGAAATCAAGTCTTTTTTCATATTAGAAATTCACAGTGTATCAGTAACGGGTACTGAAAGTCAATACTCGTCGTGGCAGAGATGAGCGCACAATGCCTATATATACATAAACATATGTATTTAACACTGTATTATTGTATATACATATGTATTGTACTTATATAAATGTTTTTTCTTTCTTTTTATGCATGCATGTATATGTATCCTTAAGTAACAGTTTGTTGTACAATAAGTAAAGCTACAATACAACAACTTAACAACTTTAAGGTCATGAATGTTTTTGTTGTTACAATAGTTTCATATTATTGATTGATATTTGTTTGTTTGTTGCTGTGTACTAACAAATTATACATACAAATGTACATACTCAGTTGTATGTATGTGTATGCATGTGTGTGTGAGTGCATTTGTATTGTATTGGGGGGGCTTCTGGGGCTTCGTTACCGATCCGTTCACTGCCATCAATCATCATAATCAGCGGGAGCAAGAACGTGCTCATCACTGCGGCGAGTTATATGCATGTACACAAGTGTGTGAGGGTGTATGTACATATGTCAGATTTGGCGCGCAACATACTTATGTCACTCAATAAAAAATCATAAGAATTATATAAAAAAAATAAAAATTAAAAAACAAAAAAAATAAAAAAAAAAA